AAAAAAAAAAAAAAACGAAAAAGAAACCTTTGGGGCCCACAGAAGAGATAAGCCTAAGCCACTGCCTGCAGCTCACTTTTGTTTTATTAAACCAGAAGTTTTATTAAACCAGAGGCTGTTCACTCTCGCCATAGTTTTTTTATTTTTATTTTTTAAATTGTCCTTTTTCCAGTTGAGGTAACAGAGTTCAGAGCAGTGTATTTTAAGGCTATAATCAGGCTCTGTCATCTGTAACTTGCAATTCTAACTTCCCTTTGGAACTTGCATAACACAATTTTGAAATCATTTCAAAAGCCAGTCAAACCTAGAGCTGGCTCTTTGGTCTGTGTGCTCAACTCCATTCTGTGCCAGGTCTGGGCCAAACACTAAAATTCTTAACTAGACTTAAGTGAGAGCTGACAGCATTTTTTTTTTCTTTCTCCCTCAAATTTTATTTTGGGATCCAGGGGAGCCAGGTTGAAAAAATTCAGATTCCTCAACACTACATTACATCCCAATGAGCAGGACCAGTGGTTACGATTGTGTCCGAGACCCTCTCCATCTCCAGGTCTTCTTCAGTTAATCTGACTCTTCATGTTGCTTTGCTTACATGGAGAAGCCTATAGAAGACTTGATGTTATTTTAAACTTTGATTTCCATCTGCCTAACAGCGTGATGTCTTGCTTTCAATGGGTTACTCTACACGAATCTTGTGTTAAGAATGGAACAAAGGAGTGATGCAGGGAGATGACACGCAAATGGTCTCAAAGAGTCATTTTGTTTTAAACATGTGTTAGGAGTTTGAACTTGACAGTCTTGAAAAAGCCAAGTTCAAAAGGGAGAATTACAGGAACTGTTTGCCTTCAGTTCAAATGCCTTACTCTTACAATGCAGCACATTATGTGTTATGTGGGTATTATCTGAGGGTATGCATATTACTGTTACTGTTTTTTAAGGACAGGTTCTCACTAAGTTGCCCAAGCTGGCCTCAAACTCATTATCTTCCTGCCTCAGCCTCCCAAGTAGCTGCGATTACAGGCATGTACCAACCACCATACCCAGCTGTAGATTAAATTTGAGATCAAGACCATATGCTTTTTATCATTACCTAAAAAAGTGCCTGGCTCCTGGCAGAATTCAATATGATCTAATTAGTGAACATATGAATAACACACAAATAGCTCTGAGGGTGCTGTGTTTTAGGATGTGGAAATAATAAATATGATTTAGATGGTCAAAGTAGGACACATATTTTTCCTGTCATTTAAATGGATTTATTTTTAAAACCACAGGAACTTCCAATGTTAATGAAATAACTATTTCCCCTGAATAGCACCATGACTGAGATAGAGCAATGAGATAAGTAACTAAGAGGTCCTCTCAAATATGGTTAAAGGGAAGAGAAACAGCAGTTTTTTCAGCAACCACAAAGAAGAAAAGTAAAACATTGGCCTGGACTTCCTCCTGCAAGTGAAGTCTCGGACTGTGCTTGGGCCTTGTCCTTTCTGGGTAACAAGAGAAAATGGGTGCCACCTCTGCACTCAAACTGGATGATCTTCCCCAGGCAGGTACGCAGATTAGGCAAGTGTGGCAGTGTGGCGACCACAGCCACATGTCCACAGCACTTTCCTAGCATTTTCATGCCATGTGCTTCTGTTGTGCTTGTTCCCAGTTTCAGCATCCACCTACTTCAGGCAGCAAGGCAAAGCAAACCACAAGCAGGAACCTCTTTGGTAAAAAACCTTATCCCTCTCTCTGAGATATTAGGTCTTAGACAAGGGCTAGCTAAGGATTCTGCTAAAGAGAACTGCCAGTGATTTCCTGTTGCTGATAGTTGTCTTTTATGGATTTTTCTTCATAATCTAAAGATCTGCAGCATGAAATGACCTCAAAAATCATGTAGTAAAATTTTCTCATTTTAAAAATAATAAAATTATCACATAGAGTTCAGTTTACATTAGGGCTCACTCGGTGTTGTACATCCTCTTTGGACGAATACACAATGACATGTGTCCTTCACAGTAGTATTTTCCCTGCCCTAAAAATCCTTTGTGCTCTGCTCATTCGTCTCACTCTCCCTCCTGGCTCCTGGCAACCACTGACCTTTTCGCAGTCTCTAGTTTGGGTGATTAGGATGGTCTTAAATTCACCTACTAACAAATCACACTCTGGTGGGTTGGTAATGGGAAAGCCTATGCATATATGGGTGTGAGGATGTATGGATATTTCTGTATCATCCTCTTCATTTTGCTGGGAAACTAAAAATGCCTTTAAAGTCTTTTTAAAAAAAAAAAGACAAAACTGAGAGGGTGATTTGGCCAAGATCACAGAGCTGGTTCACAGCAGGTCAAAATTAAAACTCAGAGGCCTTTTGGTGTTGAGATGTGTATATCAGGTAATGAGTGCTACCTTATATCCTGTAATAACAGGGAGACGTTAAATACTTAATGAGCATCTGTGGTATGCTATTTCTTAGAAATATAGGCAAGAAATAGAGTTGGGGGGATCCCCTCTTGGTCCAACTGAGTCATCTGCTCATATGAGCAGCAGAGAAGTAGTATCTTACTTTCTCATCGCTGGGTCAAAATACCTGACCCTCTCAATTTAAAGGAGGAAAGGGTTTAGTTCACTATAAAGGTTTCAGTCCATAGTCGACTCCCACCAAGGCAGGGCACCATGGTGCACGGGCCTGGCAGAAGAGAAACAGCTTATGGCATGGCAGGCAAGAAGCAACAAGCAGTGAGCCTCCCTTTCCCTTTTTATTTCATTCAGGATACAAACATATTGGTTGGGGCCACCCACACCCAGGGTGGGCCTTCCTTTTATTCACACCCAGAACTATGCTTGCTAAACCAATCAGTGAACTAACCCAATTATCACATATCTATGATCCAGTAAAACACATTCATATCCAGGCACCTCCCAGAAGTCCCACATATGAGCACACAAGGCTTTGGGAGACATCTAAATATAAGCTATAACAAGTAGGGCACATGCAGACATTTACATCTGAGTTCTGTTTTCACCAGTTCCCCTCTCCTTAACTTGCCAGCTCATGTACATTTTTGTTGATGCTGGACTCTGCTTGGAAGACTTTTCCATTGTCAATTGCTCCTCACTCCTGATGGAGAAGATTGTTACATCTGTGAAGCTTTTCTGGGCAGAGAACCCCTCCCCACATTTCTGAAGGCTGAGTACTTGCAAATAACTCATATGATATAACTGGTAGATATCTTTACATACTAGCCCTCTGGGTAGCCTGTGAGTTCTATCAGAGCAGGACTGGGTCTTAAACAACTTTGTATTTCCAGACCCAAATTCTGTGATGATGGTCTCATTCAGGGTACACATTCAAAAGAGTTTGTGGAAAGGATAATCACCTAATGTTTCTTTTTTTCCCAGTGTAGAGTCTGAGACTAAAAAATATTATAAAACTAAAATAATTATGACTCCTACAATAAAACAGTTGATAGCATATGTTGAATAGTCTAGATTTAAGAGTTCTGGTAGGGCTGGTTGTGGTGACACATGCTTGCAATCCCAGCACTCAGAAGCCTGAGGCAGAAGGATTGAGAGTTCAAGGCCAGCCAGGGCTACATAGGAAGACTATCTAAAAAGGAAATTCTGGTAAGACACAAACTGTACATCATGAAGGTATAAAAACACTTTTTTCCTTTACAAAAAAAGTCAATAATATTATAAATCTTCGTTTTTTAAAAAACCTGGTAATAATCATTTAGGTTGGTTGTAGTAATAACAATGACAATGATTTGCTTTAAAAATAAAACATCCCAGGGGCTGGGATGTAACTCAGTGGTAGAATAATTGCCTAGCACGTGTGAGGCTCTAGGTTCAAATTCCATTGCTGAAAAAACAAAAAAACAAACAAAAAAAATCTTTATAAAATATATAAAGAAAAATTCGGTACTAACTCACGTGTGCTCAAGTGGAATAATTCTTTTTTCGTCTTTTTTTGTTGTTGTTTTTTGAGACAGGGTCTTACTATGCAGTTCAGACTCGTGTTGAACTCACTATGGAGCCCAGGCTGGCCTATAACTCAGTGATCCTCCTCCATCAGCCTCCCAAGTCCTGGGATAAAGGTGTGCCCCACCATGCCTGGCTCTCAAGTGGAATAATTCTGAATGGTTATAGGGTCATGAACTGTGAAAAGGTAGAAGGAACAGATTTTGCTAAATACAAAACTGAATAGTAAGCTATTTTGCAAGTTGTAAACACCTAATTGGTTTAAAGAGATAAAATGAACTTCGACACATTGAACAAAGACAGGTAAGCTGTTTTTTCCTAGCATGTATACAACACACAGCATTATTAGAACTAACGAGGTTAAAAAGAAATCCTTTTTAGAGCATCCTTTTATTCCACTTTACAGATTCCTGTGAATCACATTTTCCCCAAACATTTCCCCAAATATTGAATATATTTGATGGATTCATTTGTTTTACTTTGTAAGTAAATGACAGAAACATAAATGTACATATACTTAAAAAGAGGCTATCCTACATGATACCCCAGAATTTAATAACTGTATGGGTTTCTTTGTTGATGGTCTCTCTAGAGGGAGACCTGGAACCCCGGAAAGCACCGACTTTTAAAGAAAGAAAAGGAGACAGCCTGGGGGACGAACAGCAGTGTAATTCCTCTGGCACTATTCAACAATCACAAAGGAAAGAAGCAAGGGTTTTATACACGTAGAAAAGCAGCTTAGTTATTCTGGCCATTGTTTTTCTGATTTTAACCTCTGATGATAACCAGTGACTTTAAGTGACTCATAAAAGCTACAGGATTTATACATGTGTGTCCTATTTATTTCACTTAAGAGTATGGCCTCAATGTGCATCCACTTAGCTAAAAATGTCTCTAATTTCTCATTTTTTATGGCTGAG